GTGTAGAACCTGCTGTGCAGGCGGACTACTTAAATTAGACAACCAAAAGTTGTACGTGTGGCTAGTTGTATACTCACTTTGTACAAGTTATGTAATCATAATTAAAATACAATAAAGGCAATAGCCGCCAATAACTATGGCCTTAGCGAAAGCAAAAAAAAAAAAAAAAAAATACAAAAAAATAATGAAATTTGAATAGAAATTATCCAAACAAAGTAATTCAAAGTAATACCAAATGCTAATATTTACTTTGAGCATTAATTAGTTAATATAAAAAGAATTAGATCATAATAGAGCAATTAAAAAAAAATAAAAAAAAATAATGTTTAAAAAATAGTAATGAACTTAATAAAAAATTTTATTTATAATAAATTAAGACCATTTGCATATAGTCTGATACAATCTCTAAATTTAAATATATTACTAACCAATATGTCAAATTATCTCTAAATATTCATAAAAACAATTGGCCAAAAATTTAAATCAAAATATGTATAATTTATAAAAAATAATAAAAAATACTTCTAATATAAAAAAAATTTTAATTGAAAAAATTATCAATTTTATTCTTTTTTCCAACACCTAATCCATATATATTTTTAATCAATTCTTAGAAATACATAGATGCAAAGAATTTATATGTAATAAATAACATCTTAGACAGGTTATAAATATGATAACTAGTATAAGACCGGTAAACGAACTACTTAAATTAGATAACCAAAAGTTGTACGTGAAACTATATGTAGTTATTATAGTTATTATAGCTACTACTTACAGTCAGGACATACTATTAAACTACTATGTTCGCATTGAACACACAAAGCAGAGTATGTATCTACTTACTGTACCCGTCAGGAACGTTATTTATATTATATGTCCCATCCACATATTGTCTGGTCTTCTCTTTTTCCAAAAGTTTAAATATTTTTTGCAATAATAAATGATAAATCTATTAAAACCATTAAAAATAATAAAATATGATTGTGCTTTTATTTATATTATTACTATAAACATGCCTAATATATCGACTACAAATATGAATCCTTTACGATCTCGTAAGAAGGTCTAATATCAATGGGTATTCCTTCAAGTTCTAATTTATTCAGTGCTTCTTTAACTTCTTTTCTCACTTCACCATACGTATCTACAAATTCCTTTACGCGTTTTTTGTCACCGTCTCCTTGTAATATTAATATGTCCCTCGTTAAATTAGAAACTGCGGACGTGACAGTGTCAAAATTGACACTGAAACGTGTTGTCATGGGATCATATGTGAATCCGCCTTGTGATAAAATATAGTTTAATTGTATACATTGGCCCAAACCATGTGCCTTTTGAAATTACAATATTGTTAAGCTATCGTAAAGAAAATAATGCCTATGCATGGGGACGCTCACAACAACAATAGGTGATGGTACTGTATAATATACACTTCTTTGTTGTGGACGTCCCCAATATGCTAATTCTCTTACCTCTTTTATGCCGAATCGAACAGATCTAAACGCTGAAGCAAGATATGTTACATAAAATTGTTGAATTGATGGTGAGGTTAAAAGTCCAATTTTGAGTAAATGAGCAGCAGCAAATAAACCGGTTATATCTGGTGTAGATGATATACAATTAAAATAAACTAAGCATAACAAGAAATTATGTAAATATACATACCTGCTTTGGCTTCTTCGATCGCAGAATGATATTCTTGTAAACGTGACCTGACTGTAACGGGATTAGGTCCAACCGTATAGTGTGGTCCGTTAGAATGGGCTACTTCATGGAGGAGAATGTGCGTCTATTCAAAACATGTATGATCATGAGGCACTAAAACGATATAGACCGTTTAAATTATATATATCAAATAAACTTTACAAAGAATGCGTCAAACGACAAATATTGAAGCTGATTTTCGGCTACGGTCAATCTGGAGATTGGTTCCAAAATATTATGATATTTTCCTGCAATTGAAAAATTAGACTTTAAGTTATTGTGTATAAAGAGAAGTTATTGATTGAAATAGTTATACCTTCTTGTACATTCTTAATGATAACTAACTTTGACCCACCGCGTTTAATGGCTTCTTCCTATATAGTCAAATAATTTGTAAATAAATGTATTGATTAACTTTTTAAAAGGAATACGAAATTATACATCATTGGGAAGATTATATGCGGCAGTCATAGGAACTATTGGATAAGGACCAAATGTATCAGTATGAATTTGCGGGAAATAATTAAACCAAAATGAGTACTTAATTAAGGTAGTTTGATACCTGCAACATCGCCAGCAGCGTACAGTTGATTCACCACAACAATTGGAGTGGTTTTCAAATCACTGTTTTTATATTTAGGTGGTACGGGTAGATTATTTTCCACTTCTTGTAAACTATTAGAAAACTTCTCCAAGATTTTAGAAAATTCAAAGTCTCGCGCGTGGATGTAAAATTCAAAGGCGCTTTTTGCGGAGAACAGTTCATCCGTATATACTTCATAAGGTCCCACAGTAACTTGAAATAATTACCATATAAGGTCGAATTCTTCTGAGAAATTTTGAGATACTATAAATAATTTCGCATACCTTCAAGTCGACTTTCTTTGTTGATGTTCAGCCAATCAACTTCGCTTTCCAAATATTCGTTATTCAAAAATGCTTCAGCCCTTGTTCTTAAAAATTTTCTCAAAGATTCATTTTCGACTAATTTTGAACTTTCCTTTAACAATCCTGCTATTTCGCTTAATAAATCTTTATATTCGTCGGAATAAGGATTCAAATACAATTCGCCTTGCGGCTCTTTTCGTTTAACAACATGATAAAATCCTTTGGCTTTAGCTTGTTGTTCTGGCTCAAGGGTTCTAACCCATGATTCGAATTCTTCTTTTGTCATATTTTCAGGATAAAAATTTCCTCCCTCGGGTTTATGAACTGGAAGGTTTGGAGGATTGGATATGACCAAACCTTCAACACGATCCCATGGCCCTTTCAATAAATCGAATACTAATAGTATCCTTTTGTCCTGTGTTTTGACGTTTTGGAGTTGTTCGAGTAGAGCCTCGTTGCCCTTCCATTTCTGACGAAGGTAGATCCTTTATTAAGAAATAGACTGAATTTGGTAAAATGATAATTTACAAACATAAGCAATAATTAAAAACACACCTATCGATCAATTTTCCAGCAGCCACCAATTTAGAAATTGCTATTTTTTCATTCTCTGTAAAACTCGTTAAATCCGCTCCTAAGGAAACCGGGGCATATCTAGAAATAACTTTGCCAATGGCGTCTTCAGTAATTGGATTCATCGCCATAATCTAATTGCCAAAGCCATGCCGATATACATTAGTGCACCCATGTATCGATAATCCGGCAATCGTAACCATTTTGAGTTTACAAACGCACTGTAACTATAAAGAAATTTTCCGTAACACAATGACTCTTTCCATGATATCATTTTTTAATATAACAGATAGCGATAATATATTTCACGGAGGTGTTCGACTTGAAAATACATAAAATAAGTTATATAAAAAAAACTATCAAAAAAAAAAGTATGCTAGAAAAATGTTGGCTTCAAGTAGAACTCGCTACGTATTTTTAATTCACGAAGATATGAGCGAGTTGGTTCTAGGTCAGCGAGCCATTAATATTCGAAATATTGAGTACAGTATACTTATAAAAGTTAATTTTTCTTTTGGCTGACTAAAACCAACAAAAGTTTTCATCCTCATCTTTTTTTTCGGCACACTTATCGTATCAATTTACTGTAACACTTAATCGATACCGAATTTGGTTTCTTAATGTAGGGAAGCTACTGGTGCACGAATAAAAATTGACAGAGATGGTAGGGAAGCAATTATTACCGGCACGTATGGGCAGTGCGAAACTGCTCAATCACGAATGAAGGCTTATTTAGAAGAAGAATCCGTAAAGCCAAGGCCTAGCGTTTATCCTGACGTTGGTTATACTATTGTGGATTTACAATCACCCTCTAAAGACTCACGAATTCGTTTTATTCAGTATATGGAGCGTGACAATAATTCACACTCACATGGAAGGAACTTGTATTATATTCACCTATCAAACGAACCTCCTTGCTCGCATGCGGATTTAATGGGAGATTGGGGTATTCTTACTCCGGAAGTCGAATCGTCACGTCAAGTAATGAAAAGTCCAGAAGAATTTATGCCTAGTCCCTCTACTGATATGGGGGATCACAGACTCTGGTTAGATGAATATGGTTCTTTTTCGGCAAACAGAAGTTATAGTAGCAGTAATTCCAGTAAAAGTTTCAGTATTGTTGGTCGAGATACGTGCGATGATAATGATATCACTGCGTTGCTTCCGGTTCCTACGAGACAACGACCATTTACAGTTACTTCTTTGCTGCCGTATTGTCTTAAACAGATTTCTGATCGTGTTTCAGAAATGTTTCCTATTCGTGAAACAGCATTAGAAATACATACAACAATATACATAGGACAGGAATTATTTTTTAACATCCCGTTAGAACCTTCGAGTTTAGACATTAAAGAATGGTGTGGGCTCAAACGTATAGGCCATAAAGCTGTAAAGACTTCTTTCCAGCATCATGCGCCTTCTATTGATGGTCAAAGTATATTGGAAGCGAATATGGGCTTTAAGGAAGATTCATCTACACGCCAAAACGAAAAGTGCTCCATCGACGTGTATTTCAACGACGGTGAAGAAAAGAAAATGAAACTTACCTATGATCAGATTTCTCGTATGAAGATTTCACGTTTCGATTTTTCTTATATAAGATTTAGGAAAAAAATTTGATTTATATTTTATTTATTTATTTTTTTAAATAATCAACCCGAATTGGTATTGAAATCTACTAGATGAATGGACAATTAAAAAAGTTGTAAAGAATTTGCGACGTATTGTACTTGTGGATCTATTGTCAGGCAGTGAGGCACCAGATATAAGGTTTACTCTTAAGACCCAGATACGAATTCCAATTGATCCCAATTTGAAACGTCTTATCAAAGATGTGCAAGATCCAAATAGGAACGAGTCTTTTATGGCTTTACGACCTTCTGATTTCGCAGGCACATGGATTCATGTAACACGTGTCGAACAGGCGATCAGCAAAACGAAGTTTTTGTATGTAGATATTTAAATATTATTGTAATCTTTAGTATTAATTAAATAACTTATTCGATCCTTCTTTTTAATAGTAATGAAAATTATCGTATTAGCGTCATACCAACAAAACAAGATGCAGATGCAGAAAGAGTTACATATGGAAACAACATTACTCTTAAACATGTAGATTGGATTCGTATGTCTAACCGATTATCTGATCTACCAAACAAAGACCAATATCAACACCAATCATATCAAAATGAATATGATCTTATAAGTTTTGAAGATATACCAAAGCAAACAACCTCGGTTTCGAGGACACAAAAACAGAAGATCGAAGACGACGTTTTTGGGATCGAGTTCTTATCAAACCACATAAAAGAAGGGCAGAAGAAGGAAGAAAATATTTCTTCGGAGTTCAAGGGGATATTACAATGCACAATCCCCGCGTCATTAGACTTTTCTCGTCAATTCATCCAGCGTATTGGTAACGATTAAAAACTTATAAGCTTAGCCGAGTCGATAGTTTGATACGGTTAAGCTGGCCTAGTCGGTTATTATCTCAAAAAATTATATCTATTTTTTTCAGGGAAATCCCCAAAATTGCGGATCGAAATTCATCGGAGTTGGGCCGGCATTACACAATATCATTCAACTACGTCTATAACAAAATTATCAACTGGGCATTTTTATTTAATGAATGGGTTATGACTTCATTAGTGAATTTTGAGTGATCTTAGGCAAATTTTGTTAATTCTGGCCAGCCGATCACGATTTGTATTTCGACCTTGATCTTCCTATACGAGTTGCCAATAATAAATTATGGTTCGGAAACTCCCGCTGACCGCGCTCGTGTCTTGTTATATAAGTACCAAAAAAAAAAAAGATGAATGCCGTTATGTAACTAATATTTTCAAAAGTAAATTAGCAAATACATGGTTTGATGCTGAAAAAAGGAACGAAATTGACAATTTAAAAAAATTTTTTGAGCTTAACTAATCCAAAATTAGTTTAGAAAAAATTTTCACCTAAGAAACTGATGCAGCATAATTCTTTAATTGGTAATTCATTTAAGAACTATAATTTTTTATAATAAAATTTGAGCATATTTAATATAAGCCTTATAATAGAGTGGAATTTTCTAAGTTATTTTTTTTATTAAGTTGGCCTTTCTTTAATTTTTAACAAAAGTTGTAGAACAAGTTTTTGTAATTCTAATGTTAGTAAGATTGATAAAATTTGATTAGTAGTTTTTGAAATATCTTAACTTTTCTTTTTATAATAATATAAATTTTTTTAAAAATTGTAAAAAAAATTTATATAATTTAAAAAGTTAAACGGGCTTACTAAAATGCATCAATGGTGTTGAACACCATAGCTACTATATCTCAAAAACGTATTAACTAACACCTCTCAGAGGTACTAAGTAAAAATGTTCAGGACCTCCAAAAACCTTACGTTAACTAAAATTTAAACCTTTATATCTAATGTTTACCTTACTTTGTAACTTCACTTTAATCTTAAATTTTAGCAAAACTTTATTAACATTATAATCATCATAGATGCATTTTATAATTACTTATGTTAAAATATTTATTGATTTTATTATTATTAAAAATATATAATTTTATTCTACAATTTTTATTTTTTTTAATTAGTCTCTTAAGAATTAAGGTTTTTATTTAGTATTATAAGATATAGAGACTTATAGCAAAGTCTTAAAAGAGTCATCTTTACATTAAAGAGTACAACTAGTTACATGTACACTTTTGATATCTAATTTAAGTAGTCTGCTTATACAAGTTTTATATTAGTTATTATACTTGCAATCTAATCACAGGTATTGCTTATTTAAACCTTTTTTTTTTTATATTAAGGTAACCTCTTTGGTCTTTTGACTTTTATTAATCACTTATCAGTATTATGGTTCAATGAACCACTACAGGAAAGCATACAATTGGTTACACATGTAACTTTTCTATATTACCTATTTAAGAAGTCTGCCTGAAGGTTTCTTACCAATTGCTGTACCTAACACTTCTGCTTGGATGTTCCACTTTAAACCCTCTGAACCTGTAATCTGTATTAACATCACTGGACATTTCAGATGTACCAGATCATCATCCTCAACCTTAGGACTAATTTATCCTCAAGGTAAACCTCTCAGAGCCTTCTGTACTCATTTTTACAGTTGATCTAGGTATCGCTATGGCAGAACTAACATTTGTGGTCAGGGTTAACTATTAAACTGCTATGTCTTTGTATAGTTCACTTAGATTCCAGTATCTATTTTATAGCATAACTCTGATACTTTAGTATATCTTTGCCTTTTCGCCTGTCCTTTTACCAAACTCCCAATCCAGATAGTCCATGTAGGACTACGACCAGTTTATCGATATATCAGGTCAGCCTGATATCCTTTTCCTCTAGTTCATTCTGATGGCCTGATTAATAGTATCTCCAAGACTCCCAACCCAGAGGTTCTTGTCTATTCAGCTACTAGGATCAGGTACTAGACCTTGGTATTTGTTTCTCCAAGTTAGCCTTTATAGTAGGGCCATTGAAGATCTAGTATTTTTCTACTTAGGTCTTCCTAAATAGACTTCTTGTTACCCAATTTCAATAGATTTACACAGCTACAAGGACTTATCTAGTGTTTGTATTGCCCGATATGTTGGTTTGCATTCCTCTATGTAACTTCAACATTGCACAGATGTTTCATGACCTGTCAGTCATACTGGTGTGACTGCCATTACAGATATTTTAATCCAATCGTTAGTAACAGTTGCTATAATATGAATATTACATAGGTGATTATCTAAATTTTCACTATCAATAGGATTTGAACATCTAACCTACCACTTGAGGGGTTGACAACCTGACCACTTCACTAGGTTACCACACCCCTATTTAAACCTTTTGTACTGCAATCTTTACCATATTATTAAAACATTTTTAATATATATATCTGTTAAAAAGTTCTAAATGCTTACTTATATTTTTAAAACATCTATTTTATTTCATATTTAAGATATTATTTTTAGAATATTCTATATTTTATATATAGCTAATCTAGTTTTATTTATTTTTTTTAATATTAAAAGTAAGGCCAACTGATCTAGTTTTATATAATATATTATAATCAAATTAATATTTGCAGTTACAAATATTTTGTTTTTGTTTTTTTTTTTAAAGAGAGGTCTATCCTCTATCTCTTTTATTAATTAGTTAATTATACATATATGTAAGATACATGA